CTATAAACATTTTAAAATTGAAACTCTTCACCTTCAAACAAAAATATTCATAACATCTTTGATCTTATAATAATGAATTAACTATTTAGAAAGTTTCATTCCATCTACATCTTTTATTAACCTATCATCTCCATCCTATTTTTGGTTTGTTAGTTTTTTTTTTCATTATAAATCATTTTACAACCTTTTAATTTATAATCACATCTAAACCGCTTTCCTAGCAAGTGATTTTTTTATTCTAAATAGGTGAATTTTTATTTTCAATTTGTTTTTATATGATTTATAAATTATAAATAATGTTTAACTATTTTAATATTCATTCATTATAGATGACAAATAATACTAAAAATAGTGATTTGGAACTATGACCTAACTTATTTATAATTTATAACATTTATAATTTTTTATTTTGTTTGTATTATTTTATAAAGAAAAATATATTTTATTCCCATTTAATAAAGACTGCAATTTTAATGTATTTGTTAAAAAAATAATTAATAAAAAGTTATAATTAAACGAGTTTTTTTAAACTATTCTCAAAAACAAATTTATCAAATAAGCTTTTTCATTCTTCTCATTTTTAAAACATTTTTTATATTATTTTTTAATAAACAATAGTTTTTAACTAATTCCAAAAACACTATTTTTGGCATTATTTATTAAATCTGTTTTTAAAAAATAATAAACAAAATCGAATAAGAAGATTATTTACACCAACAAACCGATACATATATTTATAATACAAAGTTAAAAAAACATAAATAAGAAGAAAATTAAAATTGAATTTTCTATAAACTAAAAATTAATTTATACAGAGAATAAATAATAAAATCTCTCTAAATTTGTATCTTTTATTTGTGTACACGTACAACAATTATCTAAAGTGGCTATAGCTGTTAAGAATAAGTGATAAGATAAGAAAAACACTAACCCTAAATCTGTCGTTTTTGCGGTGGAAAAGCACAACAACTTTAAAGCTGGTCCTAAATTTACGACTAAGAAAATGGAAGCATCAAAATCAGTCATTACTTACTCCTCTAGCAAGACCTTGTGGGATGTTAGATTCCGTCACAAACTATTCTGTTTGGAATGCATGGCGTGTCCCAAAATACAATCGCAAAAGACACCAACAAAACAACACTCAAAATCTCCATGTGCTCGCGCATGTGTTGCCCTCATCATCATCTTCTTCTTCTGTTACTTTTTCCATTGACTAACCCAATATTTTCTTAAAAGTTGTAACATATTTATCATAAACCGACAAATTAACTAATATAGGGTAACTATATAATTATAAAAGATTATGTTTATATGTATATTATTTAGATCTAAACAAATTAGAATTTTTCGAGTGAAATTTTTTAATATATTTTATTATTTTTTTACGAAATTCAAGAAGAAAGAAGAAAAACTCATTTCATTTAAAAACTTTGGAGGTAACATTTTGGAATTGTGATCCTTACCTTACGAATGAAAACCGAAAGAAAAAGATAAGCGTGGACTTGCTAATTATTAGTGGACCTGGGAGCAGGAGTAGTGTGCTCGGAAGATGACAGGTCAATGTTTTAATGCTTTAGCTGTACACTAACTCATTTACGCCATCCTGTCTCCTCGTATCAACCCTCCACATCTCCATTAATTACCCCCTAACCATTCATTAACATAATCACAGTTGTACTACAAAACTCATGGCAGAAAAACAGAAACTAGTAAGTGAGATTCATAAGGGTGACATCAAACTGGGTTCCACATCCACCTTCCACCATTGTTGGGTCATGCTTGTGAATGAAAGAACCAGCAGACACACAGAAGCATGTAGAAAGTACATTACAACATTCTAATTAGCATATTCAGTAACCATGGTATTCTTACACTTTTACTTTTCACTACTCCACACACCCACGTAATTAACGATCAATAAATTACTAGTTATTAACTTGTAACTGATAACTAGTAACTTATTCATTGTTATTTGGTAGTGGTGTGAAAATTGAAATTCAAATTCAAATATAGAGTAATTCTGCTACTACTGATACAAATTACTAGTTGCAATTTTTTTACCCTAACAAGGCACTTTATAAATAACGACGAAACAAGGAAGGATAGCCTTTGGATTGAAGACAACCAACTCCTCCAGATTCGAGTAGATTCCAGCGTACCCGGCTACGGAATCATAGGACGCAGCCGACATGTGTTCTTCCTCCGACGGCTGCGTGTCCTCCGCCACGCGCTTCACGCGCCCCGCGATCACGCGGCACACCAGCATTGCCCTCCGCGTGCCGTCGCCGCACACGACGGAGTCGTGGGCCCTACCGCTGCTGGCGGTGGTCCTCACGCCCTTGGCCTTAGCGTTTTCGCCTCCGCCGCAACCTTGGAAACCGTGCCTGATGATTGTGCAGACACCGCAGCCGGGTACGGAGGCGCACAGCGAGGAGGACCCACGTGCGCCCAGTGCGCACGTTAAGGTGGTGCAGTGAAACCGCAAGAGTTCATTGCCGTCGGCTGCGCACCTGGGGTTTTTCTTGCTGCTACTCGTCGCACGGTTTTTTACCGTGTCCCTGCACTCCTCAAACCGTTGGATGGTGCGTTGGGTATTGTGCACTTTTAGTATCCTTTCGATCTTGCATATCGGATTATCCTTCTTCAACCAGCTCGATTTGAATATTATTTCCACTATGTTCCTACCCGAATCCTCCGGACCCAGCTCCGAAACTGTTCCCCAAACACAAAATTAACATTAATTGCAGAAATTATTTAATGTAACAATAAATATAAAAACTATAATTAAACAAAACATTGTTAAAAATAAAAAAATTTCAATTATAAATTTTTTTGCTATATTCGGTGGGGTGGTGGGGTGTGAACCAATAATGAGGTGGCACGTTGTGGAGGCAGGTAATTTATCTTCCTCACAGCATACAGCTGTGATCTCGTACGTATATTACAACAACTTATCCACAGATTCAATGCCCTCACAACCAATGCACTGAAGTTTTGGTGGGTGCATCTTGTGAATGCTCAAGAGGTGATTCAATGCTTGTGTTTCTTTCAAATTTCGATGTGGGGATGTTAGTGTCAGTATCATAATAATTAAGTTTTCAAACATGTTAAGATGAACTCAATCCTAAAACATCGTTCTGGTGTAGTTTTCAAATGTTGATTGGGACATGTTTCAATGATTTGTGTGGAAGGGGGAGAAGGAAAAATGAAGAGCAAAATTACGGGAGAAAAGGTTCCAAACAAAGCAACGAGCATCATGACATGCATGGATGGTGTCCATGTTTCAAACTTCGAAGCTTACTTTTAGGTTTTAACCCCACAAACAGGTTCCCTCAAGCACAAGGCAATTCAATCAATTAATTACCTTTTGACATAGACAGAATTGTTATCATGCTTGAAACAAACCCATCAGATCTATATCGTACATCGGTGCTAAAGTTTTCATTTCCTCAGTAAAGTGAAACACTCATGATGTTAATTATTGAATGGAAAACAAAATAAAAAACGTTTTTATAGTACTTTAATTGTTCTATTAATGGAAAATAAAAGAAGTTACATTTTAATAACAAAAATTATTGCCAATGAATTCACTTAAATGGATTAATTAAAGAGCATTAAATCCATTCTATAAAATATCCTTAATTGATTTTAAAAACATTTATTACTTAACAATTATGACGTTTTTTATATACTAAACATATCATTTTTTAATGAAGAAAAAACTGATATCCTATTGTTTTAAAATAATTTTTTTATTTCAAAATATAATTGAGTTATATAAATCAAAATAAATATTAATTTTGATTATTTTCAATAAATTTGTTCATATTTTCCTATTAATATTTTTTTTATCGAAAATAATTTATAATAATGTATCATGTTCTATGTTCAATAAATATAATTAAAAAAAATATAATACCAACAAAATTTTCTCACCAATGCAACGTGTGTATATATATATATATGTGTGTGTGTGTGTGTTAAAGATGTAAAGATCATCAGCCTTTACTAGTAGTACCGTTAGAAATAAATAATTAAATGGCATTAAGGAAAGGAATTAATGTATATATGATGCATGTATTCTTCTGAAAATTAAATCACAAATTAATTAAAGAAACAAACAAAAATATATATTCTTCTGAAAATAGATGGGAGAAATGAAAGAGTACCAGCATGACGAACAGCTTGATGAAGCTCCAAAGATTCCATTTTAGGGAAGACTTCACCACAGTGAGAGCAAGCACACACAGTGCTCCTTGCAATTGGTAACCTGAATTAATATTTTGAAGCCATTTTCATCAATTAAAGTATGAATTTTGAATATAAACAAAATTAAGTTGAATTGCATGTGTGTGTACAGTAGTACCTGCTAGGGTCAATGATCATGTGACATTCATAACAGCCAGATAGCTTTCTGAATTGCATTCCCCTGGAAGATGAGGACGTGTAGGTTGGTCCAGCGTTTGATTTTGTCGTTGTGGAGCGTGTAGAAGCGGTTACCGGTTTCCTAGTGAGTAAGCCAGTTTCCTGACCCAGAGAACTACTCTCTGGTGAAGAGTTATCAGACCTATGCACCACACGTGTGTTCCCATGAACAACGTCTCTGAAGCTGCATATGGAGCTGCAAGAAGACCCTATCTTCGAGTACCCTTTTGAAGGGTCGTGAACCCTCGAACCTTCCATCTGTTTGCAGGTTAAGAGGTTCTTGATTTGGTCCCATGAAGAGGGTGGTTTCTGTTTCTGCTTCTGGTTCTGTTTCTGGTGTTGTTGTTGTTGTTGTGGTGGTGGTTTTCTTTTGTGGCGTTTAGGGGTGGTGGAGTGTTCAGGCAAGGAGGTTAGGAGAGCCATGAAAGAGAGTTTTGTGAAGCAAAAGGTTGATTCTCTCTCTGTTGCATTTAAGGGGAGGTTGTGTCTTGAACAAGTTTTGATTTTTTTATTTATTTTTTTTGAAAGGGTTTTTGTAAATGAGTGACAGAAGACTAGAGGATCTCAGATGAGTAATGAAGGAAGGTGCAGAGGGTGGTGTGTGTGGTGGGACACCCACTCATTCTTTATTTATTTATTGACTAATGTTAGTATGATGGAGTACCAGTATTTGTATCACAATTAATTAATGTCTTCTCTTATTTGATTTTATTTTTATACTACAATTATTACTTTCACTGCTTTGGACCTACAAACGCGTGAAATTAAAATGCACTTACCTCTGCTACACTATTGGGAATGTAATAAATAAATGTTACACTAAATTTTGGATTGCTAGTATATTTTCTCTCTCCACTTTAAAGTTTTAACAGAGGGTGGGGTGCTTGTCCTTCAACTAAAAATTTATGGTATAGGTGAGGGAGATTTGAATTTCTCAACTAAAAATTGGGGTTTGATTTTATTTGAACACGATGAAATTGCGATAGAATGTCTTCAGTTAAAAGAAACATAGTATTTTAGTATTCATGTTATGGTTTGGAAGGTGTGGCCTACAAGTGCTTCGACGGTGAGGAAAAAACCAAGATGTTGTTAACTTGTGTTGGAGGATGTTTTTATGATTGTATGTTTGAGCATTCATCCATCCATGTGCAACTAACTAGATCAAGTGGCCATTTTCCATAATAACCGTCTACTTAACCAATATTAAAAATATATAATTATTAATTGTTAGTTATATTAGGTTTAAAGATCGTAATACTCATTATTTTTTCTTATTTTTTTTGCTTAATTTTGATCATTAGTCTTATTATTAATCTTAAATTATTGATATTATAATTATTTTTAAATAAGAGTTTAAATCTCAATATCTCCAGATTAACCGATTATGTAATATATTTATTCACGTACTTTGATTTTTTTCTTAATTCTTATGGTCAATGATGTGGAGATCGTATAATCCCAAAAGTTAAACCTATAATTAAGAGACATCGCACCACAGAATTAAGTCATTTAATATAAATAATAATATTATTAGAATCAAGTCATTTAATATAAATAATAATATAATTTTATATTATTAAGATATAACAATATCAAGACTAGACTTAAAACAAATTAACCTAATAAGATAAATCTTTAGAATTAAGTTAGGTTAGAGAGATATTTTTACTCATTGGAATCTAATCAACCTTCTTATAATTTTTTTTATAACAAAGATAAAATTGTATCAAATCTAATTTATTTATGATAATTACTAAATAATATTATTTTAACCTATTTGAAATTTATAAATTAAAAGAAACATAAATTATTAACTCTTAGTAAAGAATTTGATCAAATATATATATATATATATATATATATATATATATATATATATAATAGCTTAGAAATTAATATTAATGATAGTATTTACATATTTTGTTATCTTAAACTGAAACTTGAATTATAAATATAAAATGATATTTTGAATATGTTAATTCACTCTAAAAATATATATTAACAAACTTTAATTTAAAATAATTACAAAAATAATAGAAAAATAATTAGTCAAATTCTTTTACACAAAATAATTATTAATTAACTAATATTTTATATTGATATAGCATATTCCTTAAAAAAATTTATATATCCACATATAATTTTTTTTCTTTTTAACTATGATATATTATATTAGTTTGATAGATATATAATTATAATGTGATGTATTTAAGTTTTTATATTGGTTGATAATTAATATTTTTAACATTTCCCGTGATGTAAAAATACTTAAAATAATTAAGGTAAAATTACGTTTTAGTAGTGAAAATTTTCTTTTGACATTTTGAATAACCAGATATTTGAAACTCGAACTCAAGATTATATGGTAATCTATAAAAATATGTTAGTTAATTCGTATGTTTCGATGTGTGCAGTATTTTTATATGGTACGTCCTCAAAAGCAGATTCAACTGATAATTAATTGTCACTTTTATATTTAAAACTTTGTTATTTTTTATAAAATTCGTCATGCATGCTATTTCCTTTAATATTACATTATTTATTTTAAAAATCATTAATATTATATATATATATATATATATATATATACTCTTCCTTTTTTACATATTTAATCTTTAAAGAAATTATAAGAATTAGAATTTAATAAAAAAAATAAAAATGTAATTAATAATATTAAGAAAATTTTATGTAAAAAAGTATATATAAATTTATTTAACTGATTTTTAGTTAAAAATTTCTATTAAAATGATTTATTTTTTGCTTTTAAAAAATCGTTTTTAATTTTTTAGTTTTTAAAACTTTTAGAAAATAGTTTATTATTATTTTTTAAAACAAATTAAAAACGATTTTTAATCTTAAAAACTGATTAAATATAATTTTTGTATTTAATTTTGTTTATATTAATAATATACGTGTTTTTACTTATAATTGCACTATATAATTTATTTTTTTTATTTAATTTTTTCTTAATTTTTCATAGTTTAGAAGTCATTTTTTATTTAAATAATTTTTAAATTAAAATTATTAATTTTTTTATTTATTTTAAAAGGATTTTTTGCAATTTTTTTTAAAAGAAAAATAAAAAAGTAAACAATCTTTTATTTAATTTATCAAGTTTTTATTTTCATTAAAGATGAATATCCATAACAAAACAAAATATATTATTTGATTCTTTTCCTTTTGGAAAGTGGGTGAGGGTGAGAATAAGGCAACAAGAATAGTGTCAAGTAGATCAAAGAAAGAGAACAGTGCAGTGAAGCAACTTGTGAGATTTGGTTTGTGTAGTGTAGATTTCGTATTTTGATTCTCTAATTTTGCTAAGAAGAAACGATCATATTTGATGGGCCCAAGATTCCCAAACCAAGCAAAAGTTAAAAGCATATGAGCCAAAAATATATATGTTAATTTCCACCTTCCAATCTCATTCCCTTAAAATGTGTTATTTATGCATAAAAAAATATGTTTCTCATATCAAAGTTTAATTAATATATATGCATATATATATATATATATATATATATATATATATATATATATATATATATAAGTAATTATCAGAAGTTTTAATACAATTTTTTTAAATTTTTACTTTTCAAATATAATATCTAAAATAAATAAATAAAATATTATATTTAGGAACTAGAGTCTCAGTCTCATATTTATTATGATATTATTATTAAGATCCATTATTACATCAAATATATTATCCCCTTTACAATTTAATACGTCACAATTTTGTTTTTAAAAGCGTTTGAAGGTAATTATATATATAAATTATTATTGACTTTGAATCCTAAGCAATATAAGATTCATAAGCGTTTTAAGAATCGAGATATATACCTTCTTCTCCTAATCCACTTATATGCTTTTCATAAATAAAATTGTGACGAACTAAAATAAATAATATTTTAAATGTGATAATAAATTATAACTATATTATCATAATATATATTACGTCGAAATATTCTTGTTTAGAAAACATGTAAAAGTAAATATTTATTATTTTTAACTGCACCACAAATTGAAAATTATGTTAATTTTTTCTTTTCTATTTAATTTCTTATTGAAATTTTTTTAAGTTAATTTCAATAAGAAAAAAATCATTCTTTTAAAAATCGTCATGAAATTTGCCATTGATTACTATTTAAAAAAATATTGATTATATATATATATATATATATATATATATATATATATATATATATTACCCAAATATGTGCAATAATAATGTAAATATATTTTATATAAGCATTTAATTACAAATCTTAATAAAAAGGCCTTACAACTTGTAAAAAAAAAAATAGTTATTGATTAGTGTCAAGGAGTCATACCCTTTAAAATCTATTCATTATTTAATTTAAAGTAAAAATTGAAAAGGTGACATTCTTTGTTTGCTAATTTGAAAATTAATTATTGGTGTTAATCCACAGGCTTCATAAAACTGCATTACAAATATGTAAGTTACAACGAGATAAATTTACAAGTTTTAATTTTGATGTTTTGTGTATGAAAATAATAGGGTATTGCTATGTACCTAAATAAGTTAAAAGTAACATGTATAATGTGATTAATAATAGTAAACTAAGTATAAAATAATTGAAGTTAGCATTGAGTTCGTCTTATTACATATGTCATATTCCATGAGTTTGTGTGAGATTCAACGTACAAGGCAGAAAAGCATGAAATTAATTTTAATATTTAGTGAATGGAGACAAGTCATATAGAATTAGTATTATTAAGTGAGACATAGATTTGGCCAACCATTCAATTAGGAACATTGGCATAAATAAAAACATATAAACTAGGTCATCATTGCAAACCCTATCTTTTTTTCTCACAATATATGTTAAAATAATAATAATAATAATAATAACTTAACAACTACAATGAAAGGACATCATCCGCCCCACAATAGCATAGGTGGGTCACCTATCTTATCTTAGAATGTTTAGTTATTTACTTGTCTATTCAATTACCTAATCATTCAAGGCTTAAAAGATTGGTTTTGAATCAATTTATATCCAATTTGATATTGGGTGAATGTATTTGTTTTCATTCTTTTAGATTTTAACACTATTCGTTAATTCAATATGTTTTATAAATAGATTTTATATATTTTATTTACTTATTTTTATCAAATATATATATATATATATATATATATATATATATATATAACAGTTAAAAGGGTGAATTTCAGTTATTAAAGCTATAGATATTTAAAATGTGTTATGACTCGCGTCTTATATAACATTTGGGTTCTAAAACATGCTTAATTCCGAGTATCTTTTGTGAAATTAAAATATTTAATTTTATAAGATAATTTATGATTTCTATCATTTTTACTGTATTTTTCTTATAGCTTTGTGAGTTTCACTAAAAAATTACATATAATTTTTCATGGTTAAAATAGTAAATTTTAAAGAATTAAAAATTATTATATATGATAATTAAAATAAGCGTAAGATCTGTATATATTACAAATAATTTATGAGATAACTATTTTTTAATTATTGATACTTTTATGTAAAAAAGAAAAAGTAATGTTAAGAATTATTGTAAAATATATTTTGTTGTTATTTGAAATTGTACTTGTAAAAAACTAATGAGTCATTTAACAGTTATTATTGATCCAAATCTATTAAAGAAACTATTTTTATTTATTTTGTTATTAATTGTTTTTATTATGTTATAATATTTCATATTAGTTATTATTTTATGAGTTATCATTTAATTTATCTGAGTTCATTGTTATATTTTAAATACTATATGAAAGGATCTAATTAGGGAGTAAATTTCACCTCATAATTCATTTTCATATACATCACTCTTGTCTAAAAGCTGACTTGAGCGTCACATTGCCTTTACGCTCACGAAGATCGTCTTCAAAGCTGGTTCGAAGATCGGTCAACCAACTTCATCTTCTTGTTTTGCCGATCATCTTCAGCTCGGTGAACGTCTTGTCGACCATCTTCATCTCAGTAAGAACATTTGACTCCCATCGTAGGGCTCGTTAAAAGGTCCCCTACGATCTCTTTCATCCTATGGTTCTAACTCGTAGCCAGACGGTGTCCAACCCCAACAACATGGATACATCAACCATCATTGATAGTCTTAAGAAGCACTTGGACGAATGTCAACAAAGAACTCAAGAAAAGATAAAGAATTTGCAAGAGCAGAACAATGTTAAGCTACTTCAGATCCAACAGAAGGCAGCAAAAGAATTTGAAGCAGTTTGGAGACAACATCAAACAATTCAACAAAAGGTGACCAACGAGTTGATCAAGATCGTCTTCAAAGCTGGTTCGAAGATCGGTCAACCAACTTCATCTTCTTGTTTTGCCGATCATCTTCAGCTCGGTGAACGTCTTGTCGACCATCTTCATCTCGGTAAGAACATTTGACGCCCATCGTAGGGCTTGGTAAAACGTCCCCCCACGATCTCTTTCATCCTATGGTTCTAACTCGTAGCCAAACGGTGTCCAACCCCAACAACATGGATCCATCAACCATCATTGATAGTCTTAAGAAGCACATGGACGAATGTCAACAAAGAACTCAAGAAAAGATAAAGAATTTGCAAGAGCAGAACAATGTTAAGCTACTTCAGATCCAACAGAAGACAGCAAAAGAATTTGAAGCAGTTCGGAGACAACATCAAACAATTCAACAAAAGGTGACCAACGAGTTGATCAAGAAACAACACCAAATCGAGTTCAAGACACTACATAAAGAAATGAAAACATTAATCCAATACCACAAATAACTAGTAAAAGCAATGAGGGAGAGATTGATGGAAATGTCCCTACATTCCCAAGAGATAATTTTGATGATGAGTCAATTCAACTACATTCAAGTCAACACCATTCAAGATGAATTAAGGACAAGCTGAATTTATGACATTGGTGAAAATGTGAAACATTTCCCTACATGCCCAAGATATGTTTTTGATAAAGATGATGATTCAAACAATGATTCCTAAAGACTAGATAGAGTCTTAGATTACTAGATACGGAGGTACAAGTTGATGAAGTAATATTATGCATAAGCCTCCAAAGCACAAGTGTGATAAAATTCATAACATGATATTTTTCATTGTCATAATTAATTATGATGCATCAGAAATGGAAAAATGATTTTCTCTATCATAATTGATTATACTGGTAATATAATCAATTATGGCAATTCAAATCTAAAAAATATATCCGTTTTAAAGAATAAATGTTTTTGAATACATCCTGATTTTCTCTATGATATTATTAATGTCCAACGACCATTTTCTGATGCTATTTTTCTATTTAATTAAGTTTTGATGAAAAATAAAAAACACACAATTACATAATTCGAAAATACAATTTACATTCAATCAATTTTGAGAAAAGAATTTTGAGCAAGGCAACAAAGATATTTTACACCTTTTGAGAAAACCCTCTTCTCTACTACCTTCTGTGTTTTCATTGTTAATCACACTTGTTCTTGGATATTGACATTCTACAGACTTCTACAATTTGTTGTCTCCATTACCCAGGTGTGTCTGTTCTTATTTTTATTACCTTCATCCTTTTTGCATTGGTGGAAAAGGAGGTGTTTTTCATTCCTAGTGTGATTCTAGGGAGGTGTTCATCCTTAGTGAGATTCTAAGGAGGTGTTTTCATCCTTTGATTTGTTCAAAGGAGGTTTTCATCCCTAGTGTGATTCTAGGGAGGGGTTCATCCTTAGTGGGATTCTAAGGAGGTGTTTTTCATCCTTTGATTTGTTCAGAGGAGGTATTCATCCCTAGTGAGATTCTAGGGAAGTGTTCATCCTTAGTGGGTTTCTAAGGAGGTGATTGTCTTTTTAATTAGTTTACTTTTTATTGGTTCTTCTGCTGAGTTGATTATAATTTGTAAACTGAATTTGAAAGATAGTGAATGAGGAGTCACTCTTGTGTTAAGAGTTGACTGGGAACTGGATGTAGGGTTGGCTATACCCGAACCAGTATAAATCTCTATGTGCTCTTCTCTTTCCTTTATCTCTTTCTCCTTTCCTGATTATATTATTGCTTCCGCTATAACAAATTATTGACTCACAAATAAATTTTTAATTTGACATCTATTTTAATTTGTGCATCTATTCACCCTCCTCTAGATGTCATTTGTCTAACAAGTGATATCAGAGCTTGGTTAGATAAGATATTTCTAAACGATCTGTTAAGATGTCGATGCAGAATCAGGTTTACAGGGAAGAAGCCTCAATAAACAGACCACCATTATTTGAAGGAGAAGACTATCAATTTTGGAAGGTGAGAATGGAAATATTTTTACAAACACTAGATTACGGTGTTTGGGATGCTGTACTCAATGGTCCCTACATTCCGATGAGAACAACGGAGTCTGGAGCTGTTCCAAAGACTTTTGATCAATGGACGCCGGATGAAAATAAGCGTGCCCATTATGATGTAAGAGCCCGAAATGCTATTGTTTCTGCCTTAACTCGTAATGAATTTTTCAGGGTCTCACAATGCAAGACGACAAAAGAAATATGGGACACTCTTGAAGTAACACATGAAGGAACAAATGAAGTAAAGCGAGCACGTAAGAACACACTCATCCAAGAGTATGAATTGTTTCAAATGCAGCAAAATGAAAGCATCACGGATTTCTAGACACGCTTCACACATATAGTAAATCACTTGAAAGCATTAGGAAAGAGTTTTGACAATGAGGAGTTGAGCACAAAGATCTTAAAATCCTTATATAGGAATTGGAAACCAAAGGTCACTGCTATTACAGAATCAAAGGATATCACAAAAATGAATATTGCTACTCTATTTGGAAAGCTGCGAGAACATGAGATGGAGCTACAAAGGTTAAAGAACGGTGAACAGAATCAAACCAAGACGATAGCTCTAAAAGCAGAAAAATCTTCACAAGACGAAAGCGAAAATGAAGGTAAGTTTTTGGACTCCGATATGTCTCTTTTTGTTAAACAATTTTATCGCTTTATGAAGAACAGGAAAAAGAGACAGTAAAGAAAGGAGAAAACAAATAAATTCCATTGCTATGAATGTGAAAAACTTAGTCATATCAAACCAGACTGTCTGGAACTTAAGAAAGAGAAGAAAGATATGAAAGAGAAGAAGAAAGAAAAGAACGATACCTATAAGAGCAAACGCAAAGCTTATATTGCTTGAGAGGATAATGATTCTTCCACAACACAAGAGAGTTCTTCCGAAAGCAGTGATGGAGAAGAAGAAGCAAATCTTTGTTTGATGACAAAAAGTTATGATGAAGCCTCATCACAGGTAAGTAGTACAAATTCCTTAAATGAATATGATGAGTTATTTAAAGAATATCAAGATATGTATGAAGGTTTTACCAAGTTATCTAAGAAATACAATGCACTTAAAGAAAGATGTTGAGAAATCTAAAACTTTGTCTAAAAATAAAGAAGTTGTTAAACCTTGTGAAAATTGTAATCTTTTTGGAAAATGAGATTTTCAAGTTAGAAAAAATAATAAGCAATTTTTCAAAATCTTCTGAAAATCTTGATTCGATATTAGGTTATCAAAGAGGAAATTCTAGCAAAGCTGGACTTGGTTACAAACCTAAAGAAAGTCTAGAACCTCATAAAACTATTTTTGTGAAAGAGTAAAGGAAAACAGATGTGAAACCAGTTTCAAAAACTTTAAAAAACGCATTTAGACCTTTTCAAAGAAAACCAACATGTTTTTTATTGCATGAAATTAGGTCATACATCAATTAGATGTTACATAAAACATTTTGACATATCTAATGGCAAATATGAATGGGTGCCTAAAGGAACAAAGCATTTATACATGTCTAGATGATAATTTGAGCATCTAATTGATTATCAGAATCGAAATTTTTTTTCTTGTTGTCATAATCAATTATGTTGAAAGTTTGAATTTATAAAAATTTGAAATTATTAAAGTTTGAAATTTTGTAGTTTGAGATTCTTGAAATTTGAAATTTTACAATTTGAGATTTTTGAAATTTGAAATTTTGCAGTTTGAGATTTGTTTAAAATTTTACAGTTTGAGATTCTTGAAATTTGAAATTTTGCAATTTGAAATTTTTGAAATTTGAAATTTTGCACTGAGATTTTTTTAAAAATTTGCAGTATGAGATTTTTGAAATTTGAAATTTTGCAATTTGAGATTTTTGAAATTTGAAATTTTGTAGTTTGAGATTTTGAAATTTGAAATTGTTGCAGTTTGAGATTTTTTAATTTGAAATTTGTTGCAATTTGAATTTGAATTTTGAAATCTGTAATATGAGTACATTTGTATTTGAAAGCTGTCTAAATAAGAAGACTGCAATTGGGGGAAACTACTGCATTTCATTCCATTATCTCTATAATCATTTTATTCCCTTATCTTTCTCTCTCTTAATTTGTCTTGGGTATCCTAGATATTGTCTCCTTAATATGATATTCTTCTCTATGACACTTTGTAATGCATTATCTTCTCTACCTTGATTTATGTACTAATATGTGCAAATTTTTTCTCAGTTTCTATTGCAATATTTTTTATAATTATCAATGAAACACAGAGATATTTTGATGATATTAATCTGTGTGAAACAGGGGAATATTTTTTTTCTCTTATAATATTTTTTTATAATTGTCAATGAAACATGGAGATATTTTGATGATATTAATCTGTGTGAAATAGGGGAAGATTTTTTCTTATAATATTTTTTATGATTATCAATGAAACAGGGGGAGATTTTTTGATGATTTAAAATCTGTGTGAAATTCTTTCCTATCTAAATTAAATAAGGGGAGTTAAGAGAAGTTTTTGCTCATATGAGTTAGGGGGAGTCTTGTTATTAATATATCCAGGCGGAGATTAAGAGACTCTGACACTTGATTCAAATCTGTGCTAATCTTGAGCTGACTATATAGAGTCAAGCATTTTAATGCATTTCAGGTGTTTCCTTGATCATCAACAA